GGTGGTAGATGCCAGCGATTTTTTTTTTTTTTCCCTGAGACAGGGTTTCTCTGTGGGGCTTTGTGCCTTTTCTGGATCTCGCTCTGGCTGGCCTCGAACTCACAGAGATTCGCCTGGCTCTGCCTCCCGAGTGCTGGGATTAAAGGCGTGCGCTACCACTGCCCTGCTATGATGCCAGCGATTTTGGTGTGCGGGTCTCCTTACCAGAAACTTCCACGTGTGTGACCAGTCAGGTCAACTCTCCTGCCCAGAGCTTCAGTACACCTGAGGCTGGTAGGTAATTAACCCTTCTCAGAGTGTCAGGGAAAGCTCGGGTAGGCTTTCAGCTAGTCTCCAAAATGGGGAGGGGTTATAATGTTCTGAGTGAGGATTCAGAAAAGCAGGCAGGTTCTATGGCAGAGGCCCTGAGAGTGTTCGCACTGAGGAGCTGGCTTCTGGAAAGACCTTGTTTCATGAAGGGGATGATTACTCCTCCATCTTTAGCCTTCCTGAGGGGTGGACTCTTGGCCAAGGGACTGACAGCCACAGCTGGATTAAAGTGTGTCTACCCAGTGTGTGCGCATGTGCACTCATGTGGAAGTTGTGGAATGACTTTCTGGAATCAGCTCCCCCCTTCTACCGTGTGGATGCAGATCAAACCCAGCAGCAAGTGCCCCACCTCCCCAATCAACTTTTTTTTTTTTTTGAGACAGGGTTTCTCTGTGTAGTTTTTGTGCCTTTCCTGGAACTCACTCTGTAGCCCAGGCTGGCCTCGAACTCACAGAGATCCGCCTGCCTCTGCCTCCTGAGTGCTGGGATTAAAGGCGCGCGCCACCACCGCCCGGCTCCAATTAACTTTTTTTTTTTTTCCCAAGACAGGGTTTCTCTGTGTAGCCTTGGCTGTCCTGGAACTCTGTAGACCAGGCTGGACTTGAACTCACAGAGATCCACCTGCCTCTGCCTCCCGAGTGCTGGGATTAAAGGTGTGCGCCACGACCGCCAGGCCTCCAAGGCAACTCTTATAAAAGAAATCATTTAATTGGGGCTTGCTTACAGTTTCAGAGGGTTAGTTCATGTACTGACTGGTTTTGTGTGTCAACTTGACACAATTTAGAGTCATCGGAGGAAGGAGCTTCAGTTGAGGAAATGCCTTAATGAGATCCAGCTGTAAAATATTTTCTCAATTAGTGATCAGTGGGGGAGGGCCCAGCCCATGGTGGGTGGTGCAATTCCTAGGCTGCTGGTCCTGGGTTCTATAAGAAGGTAGGCTGAGCAAGCCAGGAAGCAGCACCCCTCCATGGCCTCTGTGTCAGCTCCTGCTTCCAGAATCCTGCCCTGTTTGAGTACTGTCCTGACTTCCTTCAGTGATGAACAGCAATGTTGAAGTGTAAGCCAAATAAACCCTTTCCTCCGCAACTTGCTTTTTGGTCATGGTGTTTTATCATAGTAATAGTAACCCTAACTAAGACACTCCATTATCATCATGGCAGGAAGCAGGTAGGCATGATGCTGGAGTAGTAGCTGAGAGCTTTACATCCCGATCTGCAGGCAGCAGGCAGAGAGAAACACTGGGCCTCGTGTGGGCTAATGAAAGACTCAAAGCCTCCTCCAACAAAGCCATATCTTCTTAGCCTTAGTGACTGAACACTCAAATATATGAGCCTAGGGGAAGCCATTGATATATAAACCACCAAAGAGAGAGAGGAGAAAGAGAGGGAGGGGGAGAGACAGACAGACAGAGACAGAGACTGGGAAGGTCTGGGAAACCTCAAAGCCCACCCCCAATGACACACCACCTCCGACAAGCCGCACTTCCTAACCCTTCCCAAACAGTTCCATTCCCTGGTCACTAAGCATCCAAACACATGGGCCTATTGTGGGGGGGTGGGGGTGGGGGGGCAGCATTCTCATTTAAACCATCACACAGAGTGTATCAGTCAGGATCTCTAGGGGAACAGAACTTACACAATGATTATCTGTCTGTCTGTCTGTCTGTCTGTCTGTATCTGCCAGAATCCCAAAGGCACTAATGCCAGTGAAGGGGTGAACTTGTCAGTGGGAGCAAAAACGAGCAGAGAGAGGGAGCTTTGTTCTCCATGTCCTTTACATAGGCTGCCAAGAGACAGTACGGTCCAGATTGAAGGGGGATCTTTCCCCTTCAAAAGACTCTGGTTTAAGGGTTGATCTTCTCACTTCAGGAGATCCAGAATAAAAGTGGGTCTTCCTACTTCAAATGATGTAATTAAGAAAAAGCCTTGGGCTGGAGAGATAGTTAAGAGCAGTTAAGAGCACTGACTGCTCTTCCAAAGGACCCGGGTTCAATTCCCAGCACCCACACGGCAGCTCACAACTGTCTGTAACTCCAGTTCCAAGGGATCCAACACCCTCACACAGACATACATGCAGGCCAAACACCAATTCCCATTAGAAAAAAAAAAAGGACAGAAAAACATTCCTCACAGGTGTACTTAGCCACTTGCGGTTAATTCCAGGTGTCGTCAAGTTGACTACTAAGAAGAGCCAGCACACATGGTCTCACTATGTAGCCCTGACTACCCTGCAACTCACTATGTAAACCTTGATCTCACAGAGATCAATCACCACTGCCTTCCGTGTGCTGGGATTAGAGGAATGTGCCACCATGCCAGAAACAATAGGCAATGTTCTAATCCTCGGAGCAGATCAGAATGCCATGTCTGCACCCCAGGCCAAAGGTATTCTATTCTTAAGCAGTAGGCTTAAGGAGCAGTAAGTGACAAGGCTGATTTTTATCTTCCTAGTGTTGCCAGAGAAACAGAAGGCAGGGTCCAAAGCTACCCCAGGGAGGGGTCCATCCTTGACCTCTAAGGTTAGACTACCTAACAGTGTTTTAAAGACTTATCACTGTTGGAGTGTTAATGCCATGGCCCATGCACGGGGACACATTTTCAAGCCTTGTAATGCACATGTCCTGGTGAGGTTTGGGCTGAATTGAGCAATGATTGAAGAAGTGTGTATGTTGGGTGTGTGTGGGGGGGTGGAGGTGGGGTGGGGGAAGGGGCTCCCTTTCTGCCACCTGCAGAGCATTGGGAGGAGGAGTCGCAGAGGCCTAACAGGTCAGACCACTTTGAGAACCTCAGAGCAGGAACCAGGAGAGAGAGGAGTGGACCAACAAACAGAGGAAAAGGCTGGACCTGGACAGGGAATCACACTCTAAACTGCCATGAAGCTACTGCCCAGCTGGAGAGCCGTGCTGCCCATGGGCCCTCGGCCTGGCCTGTGCCCTTGTATCCCAGCCTGGGCACAGCAACCCAGAAGTAGGTAGCCTCTGGGGTGGCTGGGACTAGGGTAACCAGAGGGGAGCAGGTGCCAATCCCAGGCCCAGCTCCTGGCAGCTGAATAGGCCCCTGGATCCTCATGACTGCCTCTGCTAACACTCAGGCTCTAACCTACGCCAGAGAGGAAGAGGGATGGAGACACGGAGTGAACACGGAGGGATGTGCTTAGAAAGGTCTCGTGCTCAGTGTAATGTTCTGTTATTTTCATTTTAACCCCTTTCAGATGGCTGGGTGTTTTGTTGTTGTTTACTTTGTTTAGTTTAGTTTGGTTTGGTTTTTTGAGACAGAGTTTCTTCTAAGTATCCCTGGCTGTCCTGGAACTCACTCTGTAGACCAGGCTGGCTTCTAACTCGTAGAGATTCACCTGCCCTTACCTCCTGAGTATTGAGATTAAAGGTGTGTGCCGCCACCACCCAGCGAGAGAGTTGGGATTTTGTTTGTTTGTTTACTTTTTGTTTTTCTCTATTATTATCTGAGACAGGGTCTTACTATGTAGCCTTGTCCTGGAACTCACTCTGTAGACCGGGCTAGCCTCGAAATCGCAGAAATTCGCTTGCCTCTGTCTCTTCCTACTAAGTGCTGAGTTTTAAAGGCATGAGCTTCCAAGATAGGGTCTTAGGTAGCCAAGGATGTTTGAGGCTGGTCTTGAATTCCCTATCTTCTTGCCTGAACCTCCCTCATGCTGGGATTACAGGTATATGTCATCATACCCAGCTTTTCTGTTATTAAAAAAAAAACAACAATAAATTATATTTGGTGTGTGCGAGCTTGGGCATGTAACGGTGTGTGTGGGGGGAGGGACAACTGGCAGGAGTCAGGTCTCTTCTAGCGTGTGGGTCCTGGGGAGAGGATTGAACTCGGGTCATCAGCAAGTGTCTGTTCCTACTGAGCCATCTTGCCAGCCCCCAACTTTTATTTATTACTAGCGTGTGTGTGTGTGTGTGTGTGTGTGTGTGTGTGTGTGTGTGTGTGTGTGTGTGTTGTCTGAGTTTGGGTGTTTGTGCCAAAGGGGTACAGGTAGAGGTCAGAGGCAAACCATAGAAGTCAGCTCTCTCCCTCCACCGTGTAGGTCCTAGAGGTCAAACTGGGGTCACTGGGCTTGGTGGCAGGTACCTTTACCTAATGAGCCATCTAGTTAGCCCTGAAAGTAACAGAAAGTTACTTTTCAGTCAGGGTTTTGCTATGTTAGGTATTATTTTTTAGTGTATAGTCTGGGCTGGCCCAGATAGAACTCACTATACAGACCAGGCTGGGCTTGAACTCACTGTCATCTGCCTCCCTCAGCCTTTTGAGCACAGGGATTACAGGCATTAGCCACCAGACCCAACAAAATTCTTAACACTTTTGCAACAAGAACCCCCTTCTCATTTTCACAGGGTCCCACAAACTGAGCAGTTCATCCTGGCTAACAGGTGTATGGAGAACCCTCACCCTGACTCTGGGCTTGGGCTACACCGGCCTCTCTGTGGGTGCCTCAGGAACCCTATCTGGTGAAGGCTGGCAGGGCAGGAGACCAAAACTAACCTGAATTTAGCATCAGTTTTCTGAAACCTCACTCACTGGCCTTGGTCATATCACTACTAAGTCTTTTTCCTTCAGCAGTGAAAGAGTTAACACCACACAGCCCCGGAGGGGACATGTGACAGTGCATGTACAAATACAGATATTGGCATTTGATTGTATTCCGGAAAGGAGAACAGTGATGATGATAAGATTAACTTCTATTAATCAACGTAGAGGGCTTGGTGAGGAGGGTGAGGAGTTATGTCCGGCCTTTCCTGTGTCATCCTCCGACTGTGCCCTCTTTACCCGGTAGACTCTGGCCCTCCCTAGGGACACAAGGACAGGCTTTGTGCCAGGCTTGGATGCGGGTAGGACAGAGAACACTCAGAAGGTAAACGTGCCCTGTGCTTAGGTGGCCTTTACCACTGGAGCCAGAGTTAATACCTTACCTCTGCCTGAGTCTCCCTTTCGCAATCTGGAGCTGGGGACCTAGTTACAGATTGACTTCGAACAATGTCTGCTGTGTGGAGTAAAGTCCTCCTTGGCCTTGGTAAAGCCTTCCTCTTTTCTCCTCAGAAGTTCCTCAAACCTGTGTCTCAGAGATGAGAGCTCAGGAGGACCCCAGGAGCCCAACACAGGTGCTGGGGGAAGTGGGGAGCCGGGCAGGGACATGGCAGGTGGGGGATGGCCCTCTGCTGGCCTTTCCGGGAAGGCAGAGACAAAATTTCTAATGCAAGAAGAGACAGTCCTGAGCTGCAAGTGGAACTGGGGGAATGGGGTGGAGGGAGAGGTGAGGGAGCCTTTAGTTTGGGGGCTTGCTGCCTTGGGCTTAGGGGGTGGTGAGGGCTGGGCCTCCTCCTCGTGTGGCATCTTTAAGGACCTCCAAGAGGTAGAGGTGGGACAGATGGGGCTTATCCAAAGCCTTTTGGTCTGGTACTTGCCACTCTTCTGACTTAGGGCCTCACTAGAAACCCTAAAGATTCCTCTAGAAGCCAGGACGTGTGGGAAGGACTGGTGACCCCCAGCTGGGGAGGGCGGCCGATCCAGCCCATCTCTCACTGAATTGCTGGGCGGCCATTGTGGCTCCCTTAGTCCAGCCAGCATAGGCTTTGCCTGTTCATCACTCTGCCCTGAGCCTCGCGGCTCTCTCTCACCCCAGCATGAGTCCCTGGGTTCGGCAGAGACTTCCACCAGGGACCAGCAGACACCCTTGACCATGGAGCCCAAGTTTGACATGTTGTACAAGATTGAGGATGTGCCGCCATGGTACCTGTGCATCCTGCTGGGCTTCCAGGTAGGTTGGTTTCCCCAAGGCCTCCCCCGCCCTACACGGTGTCCTCCCCCGCCCTACACGGTGTCCTCCCCAGATATCCCAAACCCTCCCTGGACAAAAGGTCATTTCAGGCTAGAGACAGACACAAGGTCAGCACAATGACTGTCACCTAGCAGCTGTGACAACGAAGGTTAAGTGACCTGGGAAGACTGTGGATGGCACATGACAGACAGGAAGGGCCCATCCACAGAAGCCATAGGAATAACCCGAGGGAGACTGGGGCCCCTGAATGGTGAGCAGTGGCTCTCTGGTAACCTCTAGGGGGTAATGCCATTTGAGTAAGCACCCTGTCAGTGTGGCCCAGGTCCGGGGTGTGGACCTGGGGCGCACACCTCCACGTGCGTGTGGTGGGGCCACCTCTTGCTCTCCTCTCACCTCAGCACTACCTGACATGCTTCAGCGGCACGATCGCCGTGCCCTTCCTCCTGGCTGAGGCGCTGTGTGTGGGCCGCGACCAGCACATGGTCAGTCAGCTCATCGGCACCATCTTCACCTGCGTGGGGATCACCACTCTCATCCAGACTACAGTGGGCATCCGGTGAGCTGCCCCTCGTGAGCATGCACGTGAGCGCACGTGAGCACGCACGCACGCACGCACGCACGCACGCGCTTGCCTGCTTGCACGCGGCAGAGCAGGTGTCCGCTCCGAGCGCGTCTGGTTTCTTCCCTGTCTGCTGCACCATCTACCTGGCCAGCCTTAGCGCTAGGGAGCTGGGCTCCTAGGCAGCCCAGGGTTGAGGGCGTCTCCTTCCCTCGGTCTCTACTCCAAAAGTCTAGGGGCACAGCTTCCCCGCCCCACTGCGCATCCCTGTGAGCAGGCTTCCAGCACCTCTGTGGACACGGGGCATTCCTAGTCCCGGATGAGCAGTTCTAATCGGTTGGCTCAGTGGTGGTGGATGAGAACAGGAGCTAGCATCCCTCCGATGTAGAAATGGAAGGGTCCACTCTTGAGCACGTGGCTCTCCCGGGGGCTGAGATGGAGGGCTGATGACGAAGCGGAGGGTGTGAACTGACGGGAGTCCCCCTGAGGCCTCAGTGCCTTCCCTCTCTCTGACCATTCCTCCAAACCTCCGGTTTTCTATCCCTTTTCCTAACCTGCTCCACCACCCACCGCTGCTACTCTGTGCCACCGTCTAGGCTGCCACTGTTCCAGGCCAGTGCCTTTGCATTTCTGGTTCCAGCCAAAGCTATCCTGGCCTTGGAGAGGTGGAAGTGTCCCCCAGAAGGTGAGTACAGTTTTGATGTCTGCGCTGGAGGAGAGAGGTCTTGGAGGTCTGGGCAGCTGCCCAGAGTCTAGATACCAGGGTGTAATTCATGGCACTGGGTTTTCTCCGACTCTGTCCCCAGAGGAGATCTATGGTAACTGGAGTATGCCCCTGAATACCTCTCATATCTGGCATCCTCGGATTCGAGAGGTGGGTAGAGATTGGGCTTGGGGGAGGGGGGCAGGCTAGATAGGTGGTTTGTATATACTGCTGAGTTGATTCAAGGAGGTGGTTGAGAAATTTGAACATTCTGCTAGTGACCTGATTCAAGGAGGTGGTTGAGAAATTTGAATTCTGCTAGTGACCGGGTCAAGGTTGACTTACAGCCAATTTTGCCTTTTTAGGTCCAGGGTGCAATCATGGTGTCCAGCATGGTAGAGGTGGTGATTGGGCTGATGGGGCTGCCTGGGGCCCTGCTCAGCTACATTGGGCCTCTCACAGTCACCCCTACTGTCTCCCTCATTGGTCTCTCTGTTTTCCAAGCTGCTGGTGACCGAGCTGGCTCCCATTGGGGCATTTCAGCTTGGTGAGCAGGCAATGGGACTATTTCTGCCCAATCCTAGGCCCTGCCCCCAACCCCTTCATTCCTGCCCCGTTTCCAGGTGCCAGCCTGGCCTCCAGCTATTCCCTTCCTGTCTCTGCTCCCAGCTCCATTCTACTGATCGTCCTGTTCTCCCAGTACCTACGCAACCTCACCTTCCTGCTGCCCATCTACCGATGGGGCAAGGGTCTCACCCTCTTCCGCATCCAGATCTTTAAGATGTTTCCGGTGAGGAGCTGGCAGACGCTGGGACTAGGAAAGGGGAAGACCTGAGCCAGGACAAGGCTGGGGCACGGACAGGGGCTCCGGGCAGAGGCTGAGTGTCAGCCAGGGTTCTGGGGCTGGTGCTGCCACAGGAGCTGGTTAGTCTGCTCCAGGTCTCTCTCCAGTGCCTGCAGCACCCCCTCGCCCCACCTGCTCCAGATCGTCCTGGCCATCATGACCGTGTGGCTGCTCTGCTACGTGCTGACCCTGACGGATGTGCTGCCTGCAGATCCCACAGCCTATGGCTTCCAGGCACGAACGGATGCCCGAGGGGACATCATGGCTATCTCACCCTGGATCCGCATCCCCTACCCATGTAAGCAAGCCCACTCGGGTCCCTTCTGCTTCCAACTGAACCCCCTGTGAGATACCTCGTGACCCCAGTTCAGCAGACAACGCAGCTAGCATTAGCCCTGTTTGTGGGTGCCACGTGGTGGTTTACCCCCCCAAACCTTATTCCAGAGCTGTGTTTCAGTGAGACCTCCCTACCAGCCCCTCTCCCTTTCAAATAACCCCATCGATTCCCAACCCACCATAGCCTCCTCAAGAACCTATTCTGTTGTCTCCAACCCAGGTCAGTGGGGCCTACCCACAGTGACGGTGGCCGCAGTTCTGGGAATGTTCAGTGCCACCCTGGCAGGCATCATCGAGTCCATTGGTGATTACTATGCTTGTGCCCGGCTGGCTGGTGCACCGCCCCCTCCAGTACATGCTATCAACAGGTATGCCCACCTCGATGTTGTCGGAACGTGAGCGGCCACTACGAAAGCAAGTGTAGGATAGGACTGGGTCCCACGGTTAGAGGCTCGGGCAGGAAAGTCACTCTTACCTCTGGACCTCATTTTCTTGAGTATGGAATGGGGAATTACTCACTCTAGAACTGCTGAGAGTCCCAGGGAAACCAGTTAGTTACCCACAACTGTGTACCCAGTTTAGGTGCATTCTTTGCGATGGCTAACCCTGCTATGGGGTAGGGACCCTCATTATCTTCATGGTACAGATGAGAAACTGAGGCTCAGCACTGTCCAAGGGAGTAAGTACTGGGGCACAGTGCTGGTACTGACTCCTGGCTTCCAAAGTGGAATGCTATAGATGATGCCAGTCTGCACAGTCCCAGAGGGGCAGGCAGTGGGCCCAGGTGACAGGACAGACCGGCGATGAGGCTGGACCAACACCCCACTCACCATTTCTTCACAGGGGAATTTTCACTGAAGGCATCTGCTGCATTATCGCCGGGCTACTGGGCACAGGCAACGGGTCCACCTCATCCAGCCCCAACATTGGGGTCCTAGGGATTACTAAGGTGCCATGCCAGCAGCCAAAGCAGCACGTTCCTTTTCTAAGCAGTCTTGGCTTTGGCCTAGCCCCACCCTGTGAGAGCATTCCACTTTCATCCTACTCCCCCAGTGCTGGAGTCCGTTTATAGGCCTAACACCCTGCCCCCTGGAACTGGCCCTGCTTCTGGCTCTAGCCGGCCCCTGGCTTCCCACAGGTGGGCAGCCGCCGAGTTGTGCAGTATGGTGCAGGCATCATGCTAATCCTGGGTGCCATTGGCAAGTTCACAGCCCTCTTCGCCTCACTCCCAGACCCCATCCTGGGAGGAATGTTCTGCACCCTTTTTGGTGAGTGTTTGCTATCTGCCCAGTGGGAGTGGCAGGCCCCATCTAGCCAGGCTGCATCTCTAGTCTAGTGGTTCTGCTGTGGCAGGTATGATCACCGCCGTGGGACTGTCCAATCTGCAGTTTGTGGACATGAACTCCTCCCGCAACCTCTTTGTGTTGGGGTTCTCTATGTTCTTTGGCCTCACGCTGCCCAATTACCTGGATTCCAACCCAGGTGCTATCAACACAGGTACCTTTTGTTCTCTACTGTCTTGAGAGATGGGGGAAAGTGGGGTGGTCTCTCAAAGTTCTTACACATGGGTTGGAAACCAATTAAAGGGTACAGCACTTCCCTAGCACCTGTAATGAGGCTGGATTGCAAACATGAGCCTAGCTGTTTATCAAGTTTTATATGTGCTCATTTATTTTTCCCAATGGTTCCACAAAATTCTATTATTACCTCTGTTTTTCAGAGGAACATGAGTTCACAGGGGCTAAGTGTTGTGCTAAGTCAGTAACTAGCAGCTGACGGAAGACTGTCCCCAAAGATGAGAGACAGAGGTACAGACAGGCTTGAAGGTCAGGGCTCTGGAACATTCCACGGCCACCATCGCCTCTAAGTCAGTGGACTACATAGGCGGGAAGTCCCTTGAGCACAGCCTTCTAGAAAAGGACACTAGCCCATCAGCCCCCGACTTATTCCGCAGGCATTCCTGAACTGGATCAGATCCTAACTGTGCTGCTGACCACGGAGATGTTTGTTGGCGGGTGCCTTGCTTTCATACTGGACAACACAGTGCCAGGTATTGGGCCAGTGCTGGGAGGGAAGCACAGAACCAGGCTAGACTCTTCCGTACAACAGATGGCTTGGTTCCTGAGGAGAGATGGCCAGGCCTGATGCCACGCAGGCCAGCAAGCAGCAGGAACAGATGGGCTGGCGGAGTGTCCACTGGCTGGAGGGAAGAACTTGAGGCATGACATATTCCCCGGGTTGTGAGAAGGTCTGGAGAGTTCCTCACCCATTCTTTATAGCCACCAGGCTGAAAGCATCTTTATCTTTGCAGAGTTGGACAGGTAAACATGCAGCATTGGTTTGTGGGAAAAAAATCTGCCAAGTATGTAAGCAGCCTGCTACACAAACAGAGAAGGAGCCCCCAAAGTGAACCTCTGCTGCCCAAGTTTTTACAGGGCATGTGGAAATGTGACAGCCTACACCTAGCGAATATATTTTAAAAACTTACTGCCATGAGATCTAAACGGCAGCCAGCATCCACTATGAGTCAGGCATAGTCTCACACCATCCTCAAAACCTGACAGGCCGGGCTGTATCAGCGGTGTTGAAATAACAATGACCACAGTCATAAAGTAACATTAAACTGCAACCCGACAGTCAACAGCTTCTTTCCCAGCCTCTGGACCACACAACCTCTGCAGACAGGTTTTGGGAACTGAACGGGGCAAAGCTCAATAAAGACAGTGGTCATTAACCATGTTTTTTGAGACAAGGCAGTTCAGACTGGCTTAAACTTGCCATTCTCTTGTCTTTATCTGCCCAGTGTTGACATTTTAGGTATTGATCACCATACCTGACTTATACCTCATGGGGAGAGTCAAACACAGTTCAGAAAAAGCTGGTGGAATTTACCAGCTTGGCCCTGAGTCCAACTGAGGATGATGTGCAAAACAGTTTGTTTTGAAGAGTTCCTGCCACAAAATGGGACATAAAACTGGGTTGAAATAACAAGCTGCTGAGATTAAGCCAGGGTCATCTGTAGATAGGCCAGCTCCATCCAGGAGGAACATGAGAACAGGACAAGGCTGTGAGCAAGAAGGCACCCTGCAGAGCTAGGCAGGCTTTCACTCTGGCGGTGGAAGAGAGGCCAATGGGACCTTGGGACCACCGTCACGTGCACACAGACAGCTCTCCCCTTTCCACTCTGGCCAACGGATCTTGAGGCAGCCTTTCCTGGGGCCTCTAGCCCTCCCTGCTGAGAGCCTGAGATTCACTGGACTGACTAGAGCAGCTCTAGGCTATTCTTAGCTCTGGCTGCCCTCACTCCGCCCACTAAACTGAACTATTTGTCTGTCAGCCCCAGCCCTTCTGAGAAGCTGCAATCTCTGGACTCCTCCCCATAGGCACACCCTTACCCCATCGAAGATCCCTGCTTAGCTTGGTTTTCATTCATACCATAGAAAGGTTTATTTCCCAAATTTAGAATCATAGTCCTAATACGTCCTTGGGCTGGCAGGATGACTCAGCAGGAAAGGTACTTGCTGAACCTGATGATCTGAGTTCAATCCCCAGGGCACACATGATGGAGCAAGAGAACCTACTTCCTGTGCTTACTTATCCTTTGAGCTCTGCACTCTCATGGCTACAAGATAATAAATGTGATAAAAAGTTAAAAAACTATGTCCTTACTCCAGCATACACTAGCCCTATATTCAGACACAGAGTAAAATAAAATGTAAGGTGCCTTGGCTGTCCTGGAACTCTCTGTACACTAGACTGGCCTCAAACTCAGATATCCACCTGCTTCTGCTGGGATTAAAGGCACACGCCACCACTGCCCCGGCTCAGACAGAGTAAAATGACTTAGCCTCTCTCTTCTCAAATTTTGTGCAACAGTGCCTACATACCTCCCAGGGGTGTTCTGAAATAATGACATTATTTAGCACAGAGGCAATGCTATAGTTACAGTATTAATCTTTTTTTTAAATTTTTTATTGCATTTGCAATATTGCACATTTTATGTGCATTGGTGTCTTGCCTGCATGTCTGTATGTGTGAGGGTGTCAGATCTTGGAATTACAGACAGGTGTGAGCTGCTATGTGGGTGCTGGGAATTGAACCCGGGTCCTCTGGAAGAGTAGTCAGTGCTCTTAACCACTGAGCCATTTCTCCAGCCCCATGTATTAATCTTTTAAGAGTTTTTCAGAGGATTAATCTTTCAGGGTTTCTCAGAGCTCTGGCAAGTAAGGCATGCAGGGGTAGAGTGCTTTTCTAGCATGCAAAACCGCTCTGGGCTCCATTCTAGCAATGCCAATCACCCATGCTGGATTCTAGAAGTCTGCCTTAGGACCGTCTGTGTGAAGGGGAAGTAACACAGGGTTGTCATCCTCCTAAATGACCCCATTGTCCTCTTGCAGGGAGCCCAGAGGAAAGAGGCCTGATACAGTGGAAAGCTGGAGCCCATGCCAACAGTGACACGTCAGCCAGTCTGAAGAGCTATGATTTCCCCTTTGGGATGGGCATGGTCAAAAGGACTGCCTTTTTCAGATACATTCCTATCTGCCCAGTCTTCAGAGGGTTTTCTAAACAGTCAAAAACTCAGCCTCCAGTTCTGGAACACACTCCAAACGCCACAGAAACTGGGTCTGTGTGCACCAAGGTCTGAGACCAACCAGGAAAGGTAGGATGTGTTACTGCTCTTGTAGGGGGTGGATAATCAAACACCTGTTTCAACAAAAAGTAAAACTGAATTACTTTCATTTTTGTAATCTGTTTCAAATTTCCTCAAGGGGAGAGAGTAGGCTGGATAAAAAGTCCTATGTGGATTTTGGGTGGAATTCCTTAGCCACGGTATAGTGAGAGCAGACATTCCCAACTGTCGGGGCCACCAATGGGTACAAGTTGAAATATTAACCCCACCAGATACAGGCAGCACCCAGGCCGACTAGAGTCTGTAAGCAGTCACTGCCAGCCTGTATCTTTGAATTCTTGTATACTATATGTAGTTTTTCAGTCTCTCAAAAGTACTGGCATAAGCCAGTACTTACATTTTCAAAATGTAAGAATTAAAAAAAAACTTTTGTAAGGTAATTCGTTTTATGTACATGAGTGTTTTGCCCGCACATATGTCTGAATACCATGCACTTGTCTGGTGCCTGCAGAGGTCAGAAGCACTGGATCCCCAGAACTGGAGTTATGGACAGTTGTGAGCCACCATGTGGGTGCTGGGAATCAAACCTGGGGTCTCTTGTCAGAAGGCCAAATGCTCTTATCCTTTGAGCCGTGTCTCCAGCTTCTCAAATGCAGGAATTTTACAGGTGTGCATACTACACTTAAATTATATTTGGCATGGAAAAGGTTGTGACACTAAACAGGAAGAATCCTTCCACATGTACTATTGTTTCAGTGTTAGCAGCCACAAAACTAAAACTATTTTCTTTTCTTTTTTTTTTTTTTTTTGGTTTTTTGAGACAGGGTTTCTCTGTGTAGCTTTGCGCCTTTCCTGGAACTCACTTTGGAGACCAGGCTGGCCTCGAACTCACAGAGATCCGCCTGGCTCTGCCTCCCGAGTGCTGGGATTAAAGGCGTGCGCCACCACCGCCCGGCTCTTTTTGTTTTTTGAGACAGGGTTTCTCTGTGTAGTTTTGGTGCCTGTTCTGGATCTTGCTCTGTAGACCAGGCTGGCCTCTCGAACTCACAGAGATCCACCTGGCTCTGCCTCCCGAGTGCTGGGATTAAAGGCATACACTACTACCATCCGGCCTAAAAACATTTTCAATTGCTTCAGTTACCATAAATCTGGAGTATAAGCCCATAAGGGAGTGGTCATTTATCTTTAGGGCTTCAAAATGTGTGGACAGTTCTGAATCCTAATTTTGCCTAAAATGCAGACACCTGGCTCTGGTTATTTCAAATGCTTTCTCCTTCAAACAAGCAGCATTCCAATGAAGGTTATGAGTGGTGCTTATGCCTGCTATGTGGGCCGTTAGAGGAGGCACATGAGACTGAGGCTGGCCTGAGTGTGGTGCCCCAAGTGGGACACGTGGTTCTGAGCAGTCAGAAAAAAAAGGGGTTATGGCCTCCTCAAGAGCAAGTGTCAGACCTGACTGTCTTTTCCAGCTGTTTGAAGACCCCACGTGCTGCCAGGTGTGATGGTGCACACATTTAATCCCAGCACTTGGAAGGCAGAGAGAGGCAAGCAGATTTCTGAAGCCAGCCTGTCTACACTGTGAGCTCCAAGATAACCAGGGCTACATAATGAGACCTTGTCTCAAAAACAGAAACAACAAAACCAACAACAAAAACCAACAATCACCTTCTCTTCCAGAGGACCCTGGTTCAATTCCTGGTACCCACAAAGCAGCTCACAACTGGCTGTAACTCCAGTTCCACAAGCTCTGATGCCCTCTTCTGGCCCCTATGGTCACCAGGCTTGAAAGTGCTACAGATACACCAGCAGGCAAAACTCACACACATTAAAAAAAAAAGTGGGGAGTGGGGTTTGGAGAGATGACTCAGAGGTTAAGAGCACTGGATGCTCTTCCAGAGTTCCTGAGCTCAGTTCCTGGCAACTGCATGGTGGCTCACAACCATCTATAATGAGATCTGGTGCCCTCCTCTGGTGGGCAGGGGTACATGCAGACAGAACACTGTATACATAATAAACAAATTTAAAAAAAAAAATGGGGGCTTTTTAAGAGATGGCTTAGTGGTTAAGAGCCCAGGCTGCTCTTCTAGAGGTCCTGAGTTCAATTCCCAGCATGCAGACAAAATATCCATCGACATTAAATATGTAAATAAACAAAGGCAACATCTGTATTCTCAAAATGCCAGCATTAAAGGGAAAAAAAAAAAGAAAGAAAATTAAAGCCAGGCTTCACAAAGTGAATTCTAGGACAGCCAAGGCTACACAGAGAAACTGTGTCTCGGAAAAAACTAAAAAGACCACTTGGGAGGCAGAGCCAGGTGGATCTCTGTGAGTTTGAGGCCAGCCTGGTCTACAGAGCGAGATCCAGGACAGGCACCAAAACTACACAGAGAAACCCTGTCTCGGAAAAACAGAAAAGACTACATGGCCTGTTTTAGTCTTTAGCCATATATATATATATATATATATATATATATATATATATATATATATATATATATATATAAAACCCACGTTGTTACACAAGCTAAGCTTCTACCACTAACTCACATCCCCAGCACAGCCCTAGTTTTACACCATGGCTGTCTAAGGTTTTGGACACGGCAGTCTCGGGCACGTCAAATTCCTGGAAAGAGACTTGACGGCTACTGTGTTCCAGCAGATCCTCCTCTCTGAGCATGCGCACCCACAGGGTGACCCGAGGCTCGGGGCCACACTAGGTACCAACACTGCAGTCTGTAGTCTGAACCAATAAACACAAGCATCAGCTCAGTTCTACTATTATTTATTTTTTTAAATATTTTTGAAAAAATATAATTTTTTTACAATATTTTCAACTTAAAACACTATTCACACTGAACACGTATGGCAGCTTAACCTACCCGAATATGAAGTTTAAGAAGCCAAAACTGTTCTAGCTTTGTTAGAAGAAAACCTGTGCTGCAGACTATGGTCACGATGGTTAACAAACAAGGAAGAGCACCACTCGATTCATGCTACCACCTTTTTAGTACTTCAATTGGATTATGGGCTGGTGTTGGTCCTGTGTTCGACTTCACACATGTATGGCTATGACACAATCGATCCTGAGAAGATGCAACCTCCAATCCTATTTCCTCAAGTTCACACTGGGAGAACCCAGTTTCCTAACATGATAATGCACCAGGCAGAAGCCAGAGCGGCTCTTATCTGCCCACCACCGCAACCTCCGCCAGACATTCTCTCATAATCTACTTCTAGTTAACAGACTTTCTTCAGAAAAGGTTATTTTCGATGGACAAATGCAACTGAGAAATCTGCTTAACAATTCAGAACCTAATTTAAACTTACTCATTTACTTATTTTTTTACAAAGTGCAGACATTAGAAAGTGTCAATCAATCCTTAGGGACCAGTTTAGCCTCAAAGACAGACAATTCGGTGAGAGTTGGAGGTTATTTAATTTGGTTCTTTGTCACAGCTGACTGGTGCGCTTCTTCCGGTGCTGTCTTTACAATCAGCCATGGGGCCAATGCTACTTTCAGTAACTGTGTGACGGCTTCTTACTTAGTAACAGTCTCAGCACTTTTATTAAGCATGCAAGACTAACAAAAACTTTGGCAATGCATAAGTGTAACACAGTGACGAGAGCTTTTACAATGAAGTCTTCTAATACTGCCTCCACAGTGTGGAAATTGTGCTACATCCACCAAAAGAGGACCCGTCTACTCAAATATGTTAGTACTTCACCCCAGGAACAAACTCCTTTGCATTTGGATTCAGATTGCTCTTGACCTGGAAAATAAGTACATAAGAAAAAAAAGAAAGAAAAAAAAAAAAAGCAAATTCATTACAGTTGGCTGTGGATTCTCAGAAGCATTCAGCCTAGATCCTTATGTAAAAAATATCTCAGAAAAATAAGATTGGACTACAGTTACACCTAACCCCAAAAACCTATGGCAGAGAAAGAATGTGATATAAGTTCTATATCCTTTTTTTTTTTTTTTTTTTAAAATATAGGTCAGTCTCTATGTAGTCCTGGCTGGCCTTGAACTCAAGAGATCCACAAGCCTGTGCTTCCCAAGTGCTGGGACTGAAGGTGCGTGTCACCACACGAGGCCTCTATATCCTATTATATTAACTTCTAAAGTAGGAGCTACAATTAAGTATAAAAAAAACAAAACAAAACCAAAACCCAAACCCACATAACTTCATAAAAAAAACTTCACATAAACTATAAAGAATAGCATGGAACAAAGAATTATGTCAACTGTACTTGATACTCTGAAAATACTTCCAAATACTAAACACATGGTCACAGTTTGATTAGCTGGGGCACAGTGAACAGACAACAATGGAATTTTACTTATGACTGTCACTAAAACTTGGGAGTTATCTTTCTACAACTGCTACCTTCTAATTCCCACAGGTGACACTGGATGTAACAGGAAAAGAAAACTACACAGGACACAGAAGACCTGAGTTGGAAATCTCAACTCTGCCTGTTCCAAATTTCCATGTAAGCTTGGACAAATCAGCCTCTCCAAGACTCCATTTCCACATCAGCTTAGAAAACAACGGAAGAGTAAGGCCACATTCTCTAAGCACTCTGGAGACTCATACCAGCATTATTCTGTTCCTCACTTCTACTTTCCTAAGCATACATGTCAATGTAAAGGAAAAAGAGCTAGAAATTCTCTACATTTGACTTGCGAGTTGATAAAAAAGAAACCAGAAGATTCCAGGGGTAAATGTAGACATGCAGGTAGGCTCTTTTTTTTTTTTTTTTTTAAATTGAATTTAATTCCAATGTCATGTATTTTAAGACCAAAACATAATACTATATAACACATTGGACCAATAAGTTAGATAAATTGAGATAAATAGTCTCTATTCCCACAGGGGAAATAAATTTACATTTTAATTAAAGAATGTTCTAGGCCTGGGCTTGACCTTCAGCATTACATACATACAAACAAAAACCCTTAAGAGGAAGATGAGCGAGCATGGTTTAATTGTACAACCCAGAAGCCTTGACTATATAAGCTCCTGGCAGCTAGAGAAGTCTAAGAATGAATTAATCTCAAATAGTCTGAGTTAAACAAATCAGTTTCTGTGTTACAGATTTACGCAAAATCTAGGTTATATATTAAGCCTAGCAAAGCCTTTATTCATCAGTATTATTTGACACAACTAATGTAGCCATAAGCAAATATGCTGAGATCAGATTGAGATTATATACCTGTTCAGCTGGGTTACTGTTATTTACTGCAACAAAGATTATACCACAATGTAAATTTCAAGGCTTTCTGTATTGTCCTTTAGCTGCAGAATGGTTTCCAAAAGCCTGATGGGGAGGATGACTCTAAAATATCTCCTTGGGATGCTTAAAACCTGATTCTTCAGGTTTGGGTGATTATAATGAACAGCTTAGTAAATGAATGCACAGTGAACAGACAACAATGGAGAAATTCCAGACAATTCTCTTGGCCAGAAAAACCAGAAAAAAATTGTAATTTCTAAATCTTGTGGCGCATGGTGGCTCATGCTCATAATTCCAGGTCTTGGTAGACTGGGGCATGAGGACTGCTTTAAGTTTGAGGCTAGTCAGGGCTAAGCATTGCGTTTCAGGTTGGATTGTGCTAGAGTAAAACCCTGTTTCAACCACCCACCCACCTCACGAAACAAGAAAATCTTTTATCTTAATTTTAGTAAAAGACTCATCAGGTTCTACTTTGGTGACGATGAGAACTTTATTGCAGGCACATCACCAGTGACAACACTGAGGATAAGTAAGAATACGAATCTAGCTTTGCATTCTTTATCTGCCAAGAGCTTGTAAAAATATCTCAAAGAAATCCAATCAAGAGATCTTAGAAATTTTATCAGATAAAAATTTCCAAATTTTACCAAATATTTAGGTAACAAAGAGCAAAACTTTCCATCAAGATATAATCAAGTCATATGGTAATACTGTAAGTTACTGGACTACTCCAAGATATTTAAATACTCCAAAGGCAACATTAAGTTTAATGCAACATCAATGTTGGAAGCAACAATGAGTTATCCTATATAAATGAGACTAGGGGGCCTCTACTTCCACTCTTAAAAAAAGTGGGAAAATCTTCAAAGGGAAAGAGATGTGGAACTCTTCTTAAATAAGAGTGTAGCTGGATTTTCCGCTTATGGGAAGGATGAGGTAGGGTCTATAAAGATGAGAAATGACTTTTTACCACAAGATCTTCCAGAGAAGAGCCATCACTGATAACAAGGTCATTAAACTGGTCTTGGATTTGGTCCATAGTTTGTGGGAGATCTCGAGCTGGAATAAACCATTCATGTTCTTCTTCCTCTTCCAGCATTTCTTGGAAACAACGTTCAATAAATTCTTCTTCCCACAACTCCTCTTCTATCTAGAGTCACAATAAAATGGGATAATTATAGCATAACTAGTAAGACATCCCTAAATATGGCTTAAAATATCTTAAACTAAGCCATCTGAAAACATACTGTGAGGGCAAGGTATATATGCCTTTAATCCCAGCACTCTGGAGGCAGGCAAGCAGATACCTGAGTTTGAGGCCAGCCTCTTCTACATAGCCAGTTACAGGCCAGCCAAGGCTATCCAGTGAGACCCTGTCTCAACAGAACAGAGCAGAACCAAATCATATCATGATGTGGCTGGCTGTGAGGTTTACAACTATCATCTCGGCATCATAGCAAGGAAAAAGTAAAGGACAGAGCCAGGTGGCGGCGGCACACACCTTTAATTCCAGCACTTGGGAGGCAGAGGCAGGCAAATCTCTGTGAGTTGCAGGCCACCCTGGTCTACGAGTTCCAGGACAGCCAGAAAGACACAGAGAAATCCCATCTCAAAAAACAAAACAAAACAAAAACCCCAAAAGATAAAAATGAAAAATAAAGGAGTGATCTCTTTGAGAATATTGATCAAAATTACTCATGAAGCCTTAAAATACCAAGACCCTAATCCAACCTGCATAAAGACTATAGGAAAATCTCTAGAAAGTAGAGATTTAAAATAGCAGCAAAGGGGGCTGGAGAGATGGCTCAGAGGTTAAGGGCACTGACTGCTCTTCCAAAGGTCCTGAGTTCAATTCCCAGCAACCACATGGTAGCTCACAACCATCTATAATGATCTGGTGCCCTCTTCTGGCCTGCAGACATACATGCAGGCAGAACACAGTATACATAATAAATCTTTTAAAAACAAACAAACCCCCCCCAGCCCTAGAAAAAAAGTAGGTGGTGGCGCGCGCGCGCACGCGCACACACACACACACACACACACACACACACTCCCTGCACTTGAGAGGCAAGTGGATCTCTATGAGTTCAAGGCCAGCCAGAGCAAGTTCCAGGACAGGAAAGGCTACACAGAGAACCCTCCCGCCCCTAATAAAAAGGTGGGGAGGCTGGAAGAAAGGACTGAGTGGTAAGGAGCACTTGCTATTCTTGTAGAGGATATTGTAGAGGACTCATTCCCAATATCCATGTTGGATAGCTCACAAACTCCAGCACCAGGGGATCCAGCACCCTCTTCTGGCCCACTCTCTGCACTCACACACACATGGCTATTAATGACTAGCCTCACAATCACAAAAGTAAAAATAAATCTTAAAGCCAGGCCCGATGGTTCATGCCTTTAATCCCAGCACTTGGGAGGCGTAGGTGTGTGACTTTGAGGGCAGCCAGGTTTATGGGGTGAAATACCTTGCCTTAAAAACAAACAACAAAGCCAGGCGGTGGTGGCACACGCCTTTGATCCATCGAGGCCAGCCTGGGCTACGGAGTGAGTTCCAGGAAAGGCGCAAAGCTACACAGAGAACCCTGTCTCGAAAAACCAACCAACCAAACAAAAACAAAACAAAAAAACAAAAACAAAAAACCAACCAAACAACAAAACAACCCTTTTCTCCCCCAACACTCCTCCTCCCCCACCATAACTGATTCTTACTGAAATGAGACTGAACTGTTTACACTGCAATGGCCATCACCAGATACAGGGAAATTAGGCTGACTACTGATTCCCAAAACCCAAACCAGAACAGATAGTAGAAATGGGGATAAAAGATGACATTTATTAGTGTACCAGCATTCTCTAAAGAGTAGTAGTAGAAGCAGCACATTTTCAGGCTGATTGAGACTGAAAATTCTCAAGTGAAACATAGATCAGTTTTGCACCAGGACAGTTTACTCCAGTTTCCTAAATTCTCTTGGATTTGCACTGTAATACAGAGATCTATCTGGGAGCTTTTTCCCGTGTCCCAGGCTCCACCCTATCCTTCTTTATCCATCTCTAGGGTGGGACCCTGAAATAAGCAGCCCAAGTAATTTCAATGAGCAGTTAAACCTGACAGCAACTGGCAGCCAAATAAAATAGGAGTGGTGGCACATAAACCCTTACCCTACATATAAAGGACTACACACACACTCACACTCTCTTTCTCCCTCTCCCCCCCACACTCTCCAGGACCAAGAACATATTTGAAAGATATGAAGCTACAAAAGGAACATGTTTGTACACAAAACTAACTTGTCTGTTGAATTCCTCTTCGTTTTCCATCCACATGTACTCTGCAAATGGATTATCATCTTCATGAGAATGACCGTTAATAATCACATCTTCATTGATGATGCTTGGGCTAGTACTGCTGCGACTTGGATCTTTCATGGCTGGTGTTCGTTGTCGTTTTTAACCTTTAAAGTAGAATACAAACATTCTTTTGGTTCTTAATGAGCACACTTGCTATTATTACCAGCCACCAAGGTGTTAGAGGCACATGCTACATTAGTTGGAAAGCTTTCTTTCCCAAAATGACTAAGAAATTGCTGAGGGCAGGGCTCAAGATATAGAAGTAGAAAATTCTTTTTTTTTTGGTTTTCCGAGACAGGGTTTCTCTGTGTAGTTTTGGTGCCTGTCCTGGATCTCGCTCTGCAGACCTCTTCTGTCTTGTTGAGGCAGTGTCACTGCACAACAACACTCCAGGATCTGAGCTTTATGGATTCTCATGTCTTTATGATTGCCATTGGTTGTTCTGACCTCCACAAGCACACAGTGATTTATACACTGTGACACACCCTAGAAAGTGCAATGACTACATTTGAAAGTCATCATCCAGTTTACTGTCAGCACAATGTATTCTCTTCATTGAGTTTGGCAAATCTATTAGCTGTGTAACTTTAGTTGAGGTTAGAGGTGGTAGGTATTATATGCATTATAGTGTCAAATATAACATCTAACACCCAAGCACGTTCACTAACCTGTTAGGGCTTTATATTATCAGTAGCTCCTTTATTCCAAAACCAAAGATAGTCATTTGCTCATATTCGATACAGTTTCACAATCTACTCAACAGCCAATAACTTATTGTAATCGAATTCATTACCTATAAAAATTAGGCTAGTCAGGTTGGTGGCATATCTTTAATTCTAGCACTCTGTATGAAGAGACAGGAGGATCTGAGTTTGAGGCTAAAAATTAAAACATGGAATTTCACATTCTTTACTATTTTACTAGTTAAAGATTGAAATTGCTAAAGAGATGCAGAACAATAGTGACCTGTACACAAATTTAGGCAATTGTACGACCTAACAAAGAAACAACAGAATTAAAAAAACCAAAAAGCTGAGGGATCTGTAAGGATGGCTTTAGGTTTATAAACTGCTTACCAAGCAAATATGAAGACCAGTGTGTTCAGGTCAACAAAAGTCTTATGTACTATTCATGTAGTACATGTCTGTAATCCCCGTACTGGGGAGGTGTAGACAGGTGGATCCCTGGAGCTCATCTGGCTAGCCAGTCTGGCCAAGTTAATGAGCTCCAGGTTAAGTGAGAGATCCTGTTCCAAAAAATAAGATGCAGAAAGGCTAGAGACGGCCCGGGGAGTAAGCACTTGCTGCTCTTGCAGACGAGCGATGTTTATATTCCAACACCTACATGGTGACACACAACTATCCTTAACTTCAGCTCCAAGGGACACAACAATCTCTTCTGACCTCCATGGGCACCAGACATGCATATGGTGCACATGCAGGGAAAACACTCATACATACACATAAAAGATGTAAAAATTTAAACAACAAAAAAGCCAAACACACAAAGAGCAGCACAAAAAGGTGGAGTGTGATTGAGGAAGACACCGCAGGTAACTTCTAGCCTCCACACCTCTACGTCCGCACCCATGAACACATAATGCACCTTGTACACACACAGAAGAGCCTCAAGAGCCAGGTGTGGTGACACAGGCCTGTAGTTCCAGCACTAGGAGAACTGATGGGAGTCTGAGGCTAACCTGACAATGTCAAGTTCCAGTGTAGCCTGAGCAATCAGCTATAGAGCTGACCCTGCATAATAAACAAAAACAAGCCCACCTCCCCCAAACCCCGTTGATGCCTATTATTCTGGCTATCACAACCAATTAAAATATCAAAACTGGGGGCTGGAGAGATGGCTCAGAGGTTAAGAGCACTGCTTGTTCTTCCAAAGGTCCTGAGTTCAATTCCCAGCAACCACATGGTGGCTTACAACCATCTGTAATGAGATCTGGTGCCCTCTTCTGGCCTGCAGGGATATGTGCAGGCAGAACACTGTATCCATAATAAATAAATCTTTAAAAAAAAATATCAAAACTAAAATCTGTTAAATTCTTTTATGGGAGTGAATAAAATAAATATATAATGTATAAAATATATATAAAATGTATAAAATTCTCAAATAAAAATATATTAAAATCTTTCACTTGGGTAAGGTTCAGGGGACAGAGCTGCTCTATGGGTTGCCAGACTCCTTAAAATTAATTCTATGTATTTACCTTTGAAAGATTACTTATTATTTGTGTGTGGCTTAAATAAGAATGGCCCCATAGGCTCATATTGACATCCTCAGCCAACAGGGAGTGATACTATCTGAAAGGATTAAAAAGATTAGGAAGTGTGGCCTTGTTGAAGTGTGTCACTAGGGGTGGGCACTGAGGTTTCAAAAGCCTAAGCCAAGCCCCGAGTCTATCTACTTATGGATCAGAATGTCGCTCTCAGATACTGCTCCAGCATCTGCCTGCCTGCCTGCCTAACACCATTCTCCCCACCATGATGCAAATGGACTAAGCCTCTGTGGTCATGGTATCTCTTTGCAGCCACAGAACAGTGACTAAAACAGTGTGCCTGCTTGGGTTTATGTGCACATGTGTTCATGTGCCTTTGGAGGCCA